ACCATCTTTTGGTGTAAGTAAACAATCTTTAAAACTACCGCTAAGCATTTGTGCCTAATTCCAGCTCGTCGCCCTCCCTCTCCGATCCAGCGTGCCCGGGCTGCTGGCCACAGCCCGCGTGCAGCACGGAAAAGGACTCAGGATGCTCCCGGCCCGCACAAGGTCCAGGGTGGTGATGCGTCCCCTCTATGCGGCACTGGTTAGGCTGCAGTTGAAGTACTGCGTCCAGTTTTGGGCGCTGCACTTCAAGAGGGATGTGGAGAATCTTGAGAGGGTTCAGAGGAGGGCCACTCGTATGGTCAGAGGCCTTCAGGCAAGGCCCTACAAGGAGACCGAGGGACGTAGATCTCTTCAGCCTTCGCAAAAGAAGGCTGAGGTGATCTTGTGGATGCCTATAAATTAATCAGGGGAGGGCAGCAGGGAATAGGAGATGCTCTATTTACTAGGGCACCCCCTGGAGTAACTAGAAACAATGGCCACAAATTGACGGAGAACAGATTTAGGTTGGACACTAGAAAGAGCTTCTTCACAGTAAGGGTTGCTAGAATCTGGAATGGGCTTCCAAGGGAAGTAGTGCTGTCCCCTATTCTGGGGGTCTTCAAGAGGAGACTGGACAAGCACCTACCTGGGGTTGTCTGAACCCAGCGCTCTTTCCTGCCCAGGGTAGGGGGTCAGACTCGATGAACTACTTCTGACCCCAACATCTATGAATCAATGAATGGTCTCAAACTACAGCAGGGGAAATTTAAGTTGGAGATTAGGTAGAAGTTTCTGACTATGAGAGTGGTCAAACACTGAAACAGGCTAACTAGAGAAGTTTCTATCCCTGGAAAATTTCAAGAGCAAGTTAGCTACTTGGCTAGGATGTTTCAGTCGGGGATGATCCTGCCTTGAGCAGGGGGCTGGACTAGATGACCTCCTTCCAACCCTACTTTCATATGATCCTATCATATTTTTGTGGTTATACACTATATGTCACACCAAAGATGAAAGCAACATTGTCAACATGAATTAATGGCCGGACCCTGAAAGGAGAATGGGGGCTGTGGCAACTTAGAGCTTGTCAGGATCAAGAACCTAAATAAGAATCCAGATCAATATATCTGCACATGACATTCATGTTGAACTGAGCAGAAATCTAAACAACTGACAATAGTACTTTTGTTGGATACTGTAGGATGAAAAATTGAATAACGACTTTTTAAGGTTTATATTTTTAACATTTATTAAAAAAGAAAAATGTATGTTCATCTCAAATGAAACAGTTAAAAATGTTAAAGCATACAAACAAATAAATTGTGTACTAGCAGCATCCAATTGTTAGAATTTTCTAGAACTCCTCAGTATAGTCTTGGCAAGCTAAAATAATACAGCTTGCAACCAACTGACCTCACCATAGTGCAGATAAAACAAACTTTATAAAATTAACAATTTAAGGTTAAATAAGCTTAAATAAAGGTGTTAAATACAAGACATCTGATCAAAGCTTCTGTACAAAGATAAATTTGGCATTTTACAAGTGATTGGTTGGCTCACACCATCCATGATTTTAATAGTTAAGCAGTATAACTGTTTTAGCTGAACATCAACTATACAAAAGTAACTGAAATTGGAGTGGCCTAACCCAGTGAGCCATTTACAAGGCATGTGTATCTTTAGAAAATCAGAACACTGTTTATATTCAGGCACCATTTGCTCCTGCAAATAAATAAATCTCTAATGTATCTGCATCCAAACTAGTGTTAAACACATCAGTGCTAACTCTTTATAAACACAGCTTTGTGACTATTCACTATACCTCCATTCTTATTGCTATGACAATGTGGACTGTGGAAATAAACTACTGTACATACAAAAAATAGAGCACCTTTTAAACATTAAAGTATATGTCTGGTTTTTGTTTTTTTTTTTTATCTTACAATACTGAAGCCCAAGCTAATGTAAATTGCTTTAAATATCTTCACCAGAGCACCTGAAAATACAGGAAATCAACCCTCAAATATGTTCCTCTTCAGGCAAGCCCAAGCCAGAGCGTCTTCTAAAAATGTCTAAAATGACACCGAGAAATTTTACATTCATCTTTACACAAACAAATGTCTGCTATTCTCTGCCTTCTTCAGATGAATACAAAGATACGCCCCCATGGCCCTCAGTCTCGTTCAAATGAATAAAGCTAGACAGAGGATATAGCAGAAACATCTAAAATGAATTGTGAACACAGTGAAATTATATCCTGCTAATTCAAAAAATACAGTTATTACACAGTTCCAAGAGTGCTTCTCAGAGGCCTTGACATTAAGATTTCTTGTCTATAGTATTGAAAAACCATTCTGTAAATTTCCTCAGTTGAGCAGCTGCTGTTTGAGACTCCTCCTGAAGTCTCATATTATCTTGCCTCAAATGCTGGACTTCAGCTTGGAGAACTGCTTTGTCTTGTTTTTCCTGGTTAATAATAATAATAAAAATAAGTTGAATAAACTAGTCAGAATGACAGTATTTTTTGTTGCTATTATTTCTAAGCAAGTCACAGTCCTGACCTCCCTAATCCATTGTAAGCAGCTACTGAACTATAAATTGAATGTCAACGTTTGCTGCAGTGCTGTTCTGAAGAAGAAAATCTTCCAGGCTAAAAAGAAAACTAAAAGTACGTTCTTTGTGGGGATTATGACCTCTTCATAACAAACTTTGGAGCTCTAAAATGTAACTCTACAATTCAGATTTGACTGCATCTTTAAAAATCAGTGTGCAAGACAAATTGTGCAACCTTCTCAATTTATTTTCCCCAATGAAAGTAGTCAGGATCGGGGACTGATTACCAAAAGATACGAGAGACCTCAAGCCATAAGAATTTGATATCAACAATCCAGGGAGAAAGAAAAATGTCTGGTTTCAATCATTTCCCTTTCCTAGCTTCTTTCATCGCCAGAAGCAGTATATGGCCATTGGTTAGCAGGCCTGGCAGCCAGGGTCTTGTTTCCACCTCTAGGATCAAACAACGAGTCACTAAGAGTCAAGTCACTTTGTGCCTCAGTTTACTCATCTGTAAACTGAGTGTAGTATTTTTCATATGCAGTCCGTTGGATGTAGCACTCTTTGAAACTGTTGGACAAAAAGCACTATACAAGCAATAGTCATTTTCACTGGAGTCTGATAGAAACATTTTTTTAACATTAAAAAAAAAAAAGAAGAGAGTTTTACCTTCCGAAGGTCAGTTTGTAGTTGCCGGAGAATCACTTCCAGCTGGTTTACTTTTCCAGTCAGAGTAGTTGGAGTGTGCTCCCTGAAATGTAAACAATTGACTTCATTCCAGAGTTTGTTCAAAAGACTTCCCCTGCCAACTGCAGAAGCTGTTCATAGAGTGACATGTCACAAGAAACAAAAATCAACCCAGGGCCAATTAGCTGGAACTAGCTAATATTAGCTGGAAAAAGCAACAGTGGATGGTTACCGAGGGACAAACGCATTGCTGTGATGTCTGGAATGTGACACTGAATTTCTTGCTAATGAAGCTGAAATGAAAAATGACTTCAAAAAGGAAATGCTTGAGGTGTTACTTGCACATGTATTCACGGTGCAAATGAAGCTTTCTGTTGGGTAATCCGATGAGTGTGTTTGTTAAACAAGAAGTTTTCTGGTAAGGAGCCTTCTTTGTCTGAGCAGTAGGTATGCAATTTCCAGTAAAAGATAAACTTCAAGATGAGAAATATTTTGTCTTTAAAAGGTCAAACATACTTATAACATAGGCACTGATGAATCAAATGCACAACCAAGAGAAAGTGCTGGAAAGAGCTGCTGTTCTGTGTATGACTGAGTACTGTGGGAGACAGTAACATAGATTTACAGGAGAAGTTAGATGAAGTTAGATGTGAATTACTTCATCTGGAAGAGAGAAGCTGCAGAAATGCAGAAAGCTGAATCAGCTGCTTTGTGCGTCTTTGCAACTGTGATGGGTCTGACAATACAAAAATTGAATGTCCTTTTGCTATTTTCAGTGCATGTTAGACATCATGGGAAATGTGAATTTAAAGTCATTAAGCAGCAATATGCTTCAGCAAACAAGTTAAGCAAATTTATATAAAACTGGTTCTAACTGGAGTGACACCCTAACAAGCAAAAAAACTAAAAGATTTCTTTTCCTCCTCCTTTCACTGCCCCTTCCATTCCAGAAGTTGAAAAGCAAAACAAATTAATTTGAAAAAAAATGAAGAACAACTTCTATTGTTATAGCCTGCTTTTAAAAAAAACACCAAACGCAAACAAGACAGCAGGGAAGTGTAGCCTTGAGTTCTGAATACTGAACTCAGCAGGAGGTAGTAGGACAACTGATACTCATTCCTTCTGCAGCCTTGAAAACAGAACTCTGGTTCTAGTATAGCATCTCCATCTGTAAGTGGAGTATAATATTTTGTAACTAATAATTTTCTGGAGACAGCTTTCTGAAAATGTTACAAAAATGGGTCTTCATTCAAAGCAAGTCACAACACAGGGAACTCTCGTGCCTCTGATAATATGAGCCCTTTTGCAGGTGAGGATGCTGCATGCTTCAGTCTGAGCTGATGCTCATCAGTTCTCTTCAGCTGTAAAGTACCAAAACACAATTGTATGGGTACCACACGTTTTACAGAACCCAGTGCTGGGGGGAGGTGGGTTAGTGAATGGTGTTCTGTTGAAATTACATGGGTCAGATTCTGCCTTGATTTAGAGGACAATTTCATGCAGCAAATATCTTAGATCTGAGGTTGGTTGCAGAAGCTGCCCTTTCTCTGAAGGCATTGTCTAGTGAAGCTCCTCAGCTTCTTTAGAGCACAGCCTTTTCCCCAGTGGATATTAGAAGTCCTGTGCAAGACAGGTTCCCAACCCAGCTACCAACTATCCTAAGGTTCTTAGGTGCAAAGCCTCCATTTACTTAAGCACAGCAGGTATTCCTATCATGCTGCCTCAAAACTTCATGGCTGCTTATGGATCTTGTGTGGCTGGAATATAGTTTCAGTCTTGCTGAAGTGCACTAATCTAATTTGTTCGTCGTCCACGTCCTGTTGCTATGGAATGCTTAAAACAGCAGTGGACGGAGGTTGGGATCCAAAGCACATACTGCATAAATAGTCTTGACACCAACATAGTTTAGAATCCAACCACAATGCCTGCCCGAATCCTGAAGATGTGCTCAAATTAGCTTCTTTTAATGGAAAATGGTTATTCCATGACAGCGCTTTTCTTCCCAAAGCTGGTTCTGTGAATAGGGACCTACCCAAATCACGATTACAAGGATATATTAGAAATCGCACGATCTCTGAGAAATCCACAGGGAGAAAGAAGAAAAAAAAAAACCTTACTAAAAATAAAATGTTGGCTCCCATGTGGGAGCCAGCAGTTCTCCTAGTCATGCAGCTTGCTGGGGGGAAAGCGGAGAAGGGGGCTGCCAGCACAAAAGTGAGCAGACAAGATGGAGGTGGCAAAGGGATGGGGCCGTATGACGAACAGTCCTCTTCACCAATCAGCAGTAGGGGGCAGGGCAACTGGGGCCCCTCAGCCAATCAGAAGAGTATGTGTGGGGGAGGGGGTGGGGGGGTGGCAGTGATGATAAGCCCTTGAAAGTAGCAGCCGGCCCCGTGACCTGACTCCAAAATCAGCTAGCCGCCCCCTGGAGTTGTGTAGGTCAGAATTCCAGATCTATGAAGCTAGACTGCTCCCGCCTGATGTGCCAACCTGTTCTCTGACTTCACACAGTGAAAAGATCACACTGATCTTTATGTATAGTAAAAGGTTTCTGGTTGCAAATGCTAATACAGTGTCTGCTGACTGATATCTTCAATCACCAATTCACTTCGACTTCCTCCTCCCTAGAAGATAAGGTTTCTGCAGATTTGATCTTCAGGGTTGCCTAGATAGTCCCAATACTGCAAAGACTGGCAATTACAGGGTTACACTGACTGGTCTCCCAAGGCAGTAGACATCTTTGCATAGAGCCAAATGCACAATTTTCCTAGAGTAGTTCAAGTAACTGACACTACTCCCTACCCTTAGGATGTTTTTTGTCATCACTTACTAGATATGCTTCAATTGACACTAATTTGAAAGACGTTGGTGGGCTGCAGTGCATGGGGCCATACTGAAATATTTAAGAGCACGCAGAATCTTATTTAATGATTTATCATTCTAAAAAGGCCAGTTGGACCTGGCAAACTCTCAGAGCCACCGATGTTTCTTAGGAAGTTCACTGGGGTGCTGATGAGCTCTTCAATGTTTATCTTTGCAACAGCCAAAATAAAGCATTTGTTCATGGACAAACATGCAACGTAATGAAACCTACTGCAATCTCTTTTTAGGATGGAGTATTTTTTCCCCTTGTTTTGTTTGCCTGTTACACTGAACATGTTTTGCTCCTCCTAGAAATATGCAATTTTAATGGTGAATAAAATGCCAACATATAAAATACTTTATGTATTCACGCTGATAGATTTCTTATCTACTGAAACACCTATTTGCCAGCCTGAGAAAGATGGGGAGTTTTACTCATTTAAATTAGAATGAAATATAAAAGGACAAAACTAGATCCAGCTCATACTCATAGCATGAGATTAATTAATCTGGAAAATTTTAGAGTATCTTCCCAATTCATATCCCAAGGCTAAGCACTGATATTTGCATAGAGAATTTTGAAGAGGCAGACATACTGGCACATGTGTTCTTCCATACATGTATCTTGTTTTTTAAAGGCACCTATTGCAGTGTATCTAAGTGCCACAAAACAATTCCAGACACCATTGCATCAGCCTTGAAAAGCCAGTTTCTCACAGCTTCTCATGTTCTTTGCGTGCATGAGTCCTTCTTGCCGTCTCCTTCCTCCTTAGCACTCTGCTAGATTATTCTTTTGTCCTGAAAAGGTTTAAACACTTGAGGAAAAACCAACAGAGAAGTAGGCCTTATGGGGCTAAGACTGGACTACATCTTACAATCTTCCAGTAAGCAGCAAACCATACTTATTATGACTTTGGGGGCAAAGGATTAAATTCCACAGCTACAAATGGCATCACATTATCATCTGTTGATGGTGATAGCCCATCTGTTGGACTCTGACTTCAGTAACCTAACTTTAGCACCAATTATTTTGGAAAATGTGAGTAATAACTTTTTTTCAAAAGTAAACCCTTGATTTTTGAGGATGCTGTGCATTCAGCAGCTTGCCGTTGACCTCAAATATGCCATATTCTTGGTACTGTGTACATACAATATTTGATATTGGGACTTTGTTACAGTAATTTACTTTTTTAAATAAGGTATGCTTTGCTGGCCACTGCAGTTAATCCGTGACAAGTTTCCTTGAGGGCTCCCTACCATTTTACAGAAATGTGCAGTTATGGCAGACCAGGATGCCAGGAAGGAAATTTTGTCCAGTGACTTGATGAGCTAAATGAGCACTGCATGCAAGTTTCTCCTGGACTTTTATATCCCTTACGGAAACTGTTACAAACAACAATCTAAAAACTTGTTATTTCACTGTGGGTAGTACTCACAAGTTGATGAGCTACAAAAAAATTGTTCTTATTTTCCAGAAAGCAGCAGGTAGACCAAAATAATTCCTTCTAATATCTCATTGCTCTGACAGTTACCCAAAGTTATCTTATGTCAGTTATAAGTGATCTCAGTTGAACTCCTATACATTAGAGAGAAAGACACTGTGCTATATATCAATGGTTCTCAGACTACAGTGGTCCAGATAGCCAGTATAGATCGTCTAACTGCTGGCATGGTTCCTCCCTCCCTTTCAAGTACTGATGATATTGGTACCTGATCATTCAAGGATACTGAAAGGGGAGAGTGCCCACTGATCCAACAGGTTTAGAAGCCATTGTCCTATACAGTTTAGCAGTCTGAAAAGTCATTTTCACTATATTTACAGTTGAGTCAATCTGGATAATTTGGTCATTGCAAATCTAAGTGCTTCCTCCAGTCAGTACCATTTATTTTCTTGATATGTAAACGTAAATGAAATATATGGCTTTGTTGAGGAGTTCAGCTTTTTTCAAAACTTGTGAAGATACATGCATCTGCATAGGTTATTAAATGGAACCAAATGTTATCTGTTTCATTATAAAAGCACTTCAAATATTACATACCCAGTAGCATCAAGGAAATCTTTTCCGTCTGTTGGACTCTCACCCAAAGGTATATCTTGAGTACCTGCCAAACCCTGTGCTTGCTGCATATCATTCAGGGTGCAAAAAGATGCTACTCTCTGATCTATAGGGGTGGGAGGAAACAAAGTTGATAAAAAAAAAGTTTGTAAAGATGGTTTTATATACAAAAATCAAAGGCTAATGTACAATGAATTGATTTGGATCTGATTAGAGCCAGAGAACCAGGTTTTTTGTTGTTGTTTTTTTTTTAATCACAGCTTCAAGGACAATCAGAAAAAAAATTTATTCCAGCCAGTTGGCTTCAAAAAATCTGTATCTAAAAGCCACTAGAGTCTACTGTTTTGCATGTGTCAACAGAGCAAGAATTATTTGTTTCGACTAGAAAAAACTAATTCAAACAGTAAATTGGTCCTGCTGAGGTCCACAGAAAACCTGTGAAACCCTTCTGAGGAACAAGGGCTATGACCAATGAAAATAAAAGTTAATGGAAAATGCTGATATTTTCCATGAAGCCAAGTCATTACATTCCACAGAAATCTGAACTGTCCAGGTTTTATCATCATATTATTTCAAGCTCTTGCATAAGCTACTTGGTATCTGCGTATTTGAAAAGCAGTATATGAGTGTTATTATTGACTCAGTTTCATCATTTTTCAGTACCATTTTTGGTGAAAGTGCCTTCAATTATCAACAACACTAGAGCCGCTGTCATGTAGATCTTGATTTGTTTGGACTTAGCATGTCTCCAAAGACCGACATCATTATCAAAGGACATGCAGCATACAACAGCTGTCAAGATACACCAAGCATCAGATAAGAAGACTATGCCACGCAGACTATCACTACATAGAATGAGAGTAAATGATGCACTAATTTTGATTTAAATGAATTTCTATGGAAAATCCATATTCTGTGGAGACTGGTTGAATAGATTGCCATACAAATTCCATGCCTGCAGATTTCTATTGACTCTGACTATAACATGCCTTCTCTGCTCTTTGCTCCATCCTCCCCCCAAGCTTGCATTATCATGCAAACGTGCAAACACAGAAATAAGGAAGGTTTACATAAGATAAAAGTCATCAACCCCAGACCATCACCTAGAAATGACGCGTGGTGACAGATCGGCCCAAGATCTTCATCTGAGTCAAAACCTGGAATAAGATTTAGAATGTTCCTATAAACAAGGGAGTCCATCCAACTATCTTGCCACTAAAGCAGCTGTGGCCCTTATGTAAGAGTCACATGCTGCCAATGTAAGTCATGCTGGCTCTTACTCCAAGAAGCATTAAGCCTTTCAAAACCAATATTTATGTAATGCCAGCTACCATGGCATTTCATGCTAAGTAGCTCCAATACAATGCACAGGATTGTCACACACAGCATGGAGACATGGCTCCACATAAAAATAACTAAAATAAACAACACTGAAGAGTAAACATATCCAGACTGTTTTAAATAGTAAGAAATTTCAGTGACCTGTTTTAGACGTTCTATATAGATTAAAAAAGGGAATCAGCAATTAGAAGTTATTTTAAGCACTTATAAAATGAACACTTTTGAAGAACATGGCAAAGATTGACAAGTCTTTTCCAGACATAAAAAGGCTTCAAAGCAAAGTTGCATTTCTTTAATATCTGATTTTGAGAGCAGTTTTCTATAGACATAATTTCCCCAAGTTTTATCATTATTTGCAATCTGTGATATGTTTCAGCAAGTTTTTGGATCACAAATTTTCCTTACACATCTAGAGTAGGACAAGGGTGTGATTTCAGATGCCATGACTATCACTATTACACCATTCACACTATGGAAGCACAATAGCTTGATTAATTTAAGCATCAGGGAAAGGGTAAAATTAGTTTCCTTACTCAGATTATGCAAAGTACCTGTGTTAAAATCAAGATTGTTCCAATCGAGCTGATAAAAGAAATTGGATAAAAGTAATTTCCAGGTACCCATCTAATTATCCATTTCATTTTTACTTTGTCTTTCCTGCCTTTGCTTTCCTGTCTGCATTGCTCCTGAAAACTTTCCCATGTTATGACTTAGTGGCCAATTAAGTGCAATGTGTGGTATTTTGCATCACTGAAGCAACTTTTTCAATAGAAATGCTCCTTTATTTTTCTCGCAGTGTTGGGTAAACATTATTGAGACGAGTGAAATTCAGAAATTTTCTATTGAAGAACAATGACTACCGTTGAGGACCCAGTCTCTTTGAAACAAACCTCCATCTTTACCTTAGTCAGAGGATGTGCTAACAATGTGTGTAGCAGTCACAAAAATTAGAGCATGACATTTTAAAATAGAGTACTACTTGTAGAAAAAAATATTAAAAATTATGCAATGTGTGTACCTCAATGGTGACCAGCCTTTGGAAATTGTGCCACAAATTAACCTTTCACCCTGAGTGCCACTCCCATCCCCTTTTTCTGACTAAACTACTGCTCTGCTTTCTGCTCCCTGCCTTGTGGCCTCTGCCCAAGCTGTTGCTCTTCTTTCTGCTTCCTGCCTTGTGTGTTGTTGTGATGCGAATCTCCTAATATATATGAGTGCGTGTACACAATTAAATTATTTAAGAAGATATACTGAGATTTATATCTAAATCTCAGGCAAATGTACAAAGTAAGCCAATTTATGTAATCTTTTGTAACAAAGACGACTTTGAACTGGGGTTTGCAGAACCATAGGGCACCACAAATCTTAGGGTACACACCACAAAATTGGCCTTTCAAGTGGCTTAAATGCCCTTTTGCACCGCTTTAGTGGGGCTGCTGCTTGCATGCTCGGTGGCGTATTCTGCTTTAATGGCGTTGCTGTTTGCATGTTTGGCGGGGTATTCCGCTTTAAATGACTTTGGTACGTAGCAAGATAAAACACCTCTGAGGTGTTTTAGTTTGCTACCTAACAAAGTGCAACAGTGCATGGGGTGCTGGAAGATGATGTGCTGGTGGCTTAGCTGGCCCCACACAGCTCACGGTCTGTGGGACTTGGCAACAGCCCATGCAGATAAGCTCCACTGAACAAAACACCAAGCCTGATCTTGTTTTTTTTCTCCCTGAAGCCTGCCTGCCTGAGCTGTGTAGGGGCGGTGCTTCCCTCCGCAGCTGCTAGGATCGGGCCCCCACCATTCTGTACATCTGATGGGGGCTTAGTTCGATTTAATTCTGATTAAATTGAAGTGGTGTTTTTAAAAACCCACTGTTTCAATTAAGGGAAAACTAAACCAAATTAAACCCCCATGGCGTGTGCAACCTTAGGCCTCATCTATACTTCTTTACCTAGTGTGTCCTGGTGAAGATGCGGCAGAAGACACCCCACTCCCCTCAAGTCTGCAGACAGGCAGACTCTAGAACTGGAAACTTGCTGGAGAGGCTGCTCTGAGGTTATCCTCAGCAGCTGTTCTCAGCTCCAACAGAAACCAAGAGCTAATGAGTAGCTACTGTGGCAGCTTGATAGGCAAACTTCTGGGTCTGGAGTGTCCCTCTGACTCAGAGTGTGCCTGTACTTGCCCCAGCCTCATCAGAACCCTCACCAGACAACCCCATGTCAGGGGTCAGCAACCTGGGGCCCATGGGCCAAATCTGGCCCACGAAGGGATTGGATCTGGCCCATGTTTTGCTAATGGCATGCCAACCCCCTACTGCCACCATAGCTATCCCTGCCCTATGGTGGGCTGTTCCACCACTGCAGCCTCCACTTACCATCACTGCTGAATTAGCCACTCCAAACTGTAATGTCATGCTTTTCAGCACCATATTTTTCAGTGGAGGCTGCATTAGAGAGATGAGAGCAGCCCTCTCTCCCTAGAACAGGGCTATCTGGGATAGTAGGAGGGGATTGGGGGCCACAGCCAACCCCTGCTATAACTTGTAGAAAAAATTCAAAGTAATTAAGGAAGGCAATGCATGGGACCAGAGAACAGATTGGGGCTAGTGACAGAAGTGACACATAAACCAGTTTAAGTCATCAGAAACTGGTTTAAACCTGTAACAGAATAGAAGCTAAGTACACACAGACCAGCTTCAAAATGGCTGAAACTGGTTTACGATAAACCTGGTTGAATGTAGTATCATCAGACTTAACTGATTTGGGTCGAACCAGTTTATGAAACTGCTGTTTCAGACTCCTTCTTGGTTTAAGTTAAATCACAGTCCCCCAGCATCTCAAGCATACTTTCCAGCCCTGGTTTGGGCTGTGCTGTCTGCTCCAGCAGAAAAGGGTTTGGGGGGCGGGGGAGGATAGGAGGGGAGGGAAGACAGGGCCTGCCTTCTCAGGCGAAACCTGCCTAGGGTCTGGGGCCTGCTCTGCCCTGCTAAAGTTACTGAAACTTACTACTTGCTGCAACCATGGACTATAAATCCCAGAGGCACCTGGAAGCAGGAAGAGGAAGTGATGAGCAACTCTGCAAAGTCCTGATTCTGTGATTCTGGACTGCAAATCCCACAGACCTCAGGGGCAGCAGAAAGAGGAAGTGAACATACAGCCCATGCTAGCTACACACCAGAGAGCTGGGCTCTAGCACCCGCCCCCCTCTTCTGGCCTGAACTACTGCAGGCATGCTGCTGCATTTCCTCAATCAAAGACCGAACGTGTGTCCAGTTGTTTCTCAGTTTAATCTCTGCAGATTAGACTAACCTGCAACGACTGAATCGATTCAGCCTCAGGCATTTTTAACTGTCTGTACTTAGCCTAAATGTAAAACAATGTATAAAATGGTGCTCTTACTGATACATTTTCAGTTGAAGTTCAAATTCGGTCCACGGGTATGCACACAAAATCCTACTGAGGTTGACAGAAGTTGCATACTCATTAACTGACAACAGTTTGCCTCAGTGCTTTCAATCTTTATTTTTCTAACACTTAAACAAGCTAATTTGGTTAGGATAATTATTTTTTATGCTGAATATTTTACCCCTCTCTCATTATGTTATGTGTAGCATTACTTTTATTAAACCATAAAGATTAAAAATGGGAATGTTAAAACAATATTAATTATAGTAGCACAGATGGTGCCACAGAGCTAAAATCGCATTAACAAATGTTACATTCTGATTGGGGTAAGTAGCTTTGAATCACAGCAATAACCTGGTACAAAACCAACAGCTGAATCAAACCATAGCAGTATTGTAGAGAGGCTCTGGTGGTTTGCTTAAGCCCCAAAATATTATTTGCAAAGCACTAAAGTTTTTTTTTTTTTAAATTAAGAAACAACCAATCCACAATGCCAGAAATATTACTAGTCTCCATGTTATACTCAACATTTATGGCTATAGTCCATTTATTGATACGAGAGGGGAAATTTTCAGAATTTTTTCCAGCAAGTACTGGAAACCACATTTTTCTAACTCAGACTTCAGGATCTAGGAGGACTTTAGAGAAGTATAGTAAAACAATAAACATACATCAACTTTTAAAAAACTGTCACTTTTGCTTATTCTTTTCTGATATGTATTTATATCCCCTCCTATTTCATTCTACATTGAAACTGGTTTAAACCTGTAAAAGAATAGAACCTAAGTGCGTATAAACTAATTTCAAAATGGCTGAAACTGGTTTAAGATAAACCTGGTTGAATGTAGTATCAGACTTAACTGATTCAGATCAAACTGGTTTATGAAACTTCTGTTCCAGACAACTTTCTGGTTCAAGTTAAATCACAGTCCCCCAGCATCCCAGCATGCTTTCCAGCCCTAGGCTGGGCTGTGTTGTCTGCTCCGAGAGCAGGGCTGGCTCCAATCTTGTGCTCCCTAGCTGGCTGGGGTTTGGGGCCAGGGAGGGGTTTCAACACCCCTTCCCATGCTCAAACTTAGTGCTGGCTGTGACTGTGGACTACAAATCCCAGAGGTACCTGGAAGCAGAAGCGATGAGCAACCCTGCAGAGTCCTGCTGGTGTCATTTTGGACTGCAAATCCCCAAGACCTCGGAGGCAGCAAGAAGAGAAAGTGAACACACAGCTAGAGAGCTGCACTCTACCACCCCCTGGCTTCTGGCCTGAGCCACTGCAGACATGTGGCTGCATTCCCTGAATCAAAGGTAATGTCGGTTCACTTCTGTTTCAATTTAATCTGTGCAGTTTAGACTAACCTGCAAAGACTGAATCGATTCAGCCTCAGGCATTTTGACTGTCTGTATCTAGTCTAGGAGCCAGAGAATTGTGAAATTTCTGACAAATTTCCTGAGGACTGCCCAACTGCAAGAACCTGACTGCAGGGAGGTTGGGAGGTTCTAACAGCATCAGTAGCAGCCTAGGTAGTTCTAATTTCCTCTGGAATGAGTAGGTTGGCTGTACCTCAGGAATCAAGGAAAACATTTCTCTTGGTTGTGTGAAACCACCTCTGATTGAACATATGTGAGAATTATAAATATCATAGGAGTTTCATGGAACAAGTAACAGTGTGGCCATCATATGTTGGCTGTCACTAAAGAAATCATCAGTATCCGGATGTCATGAAGTCTCTGATGAGAAGCCCACATCTCTACCTAAAAACAGCAGCACTCAATTCATAGGACTCATTAGCAAGCAAGGGCTAGAGCAGTTTAGTTAAAAAAAAGTCTCACTGAATCCATTAAAAAAGTCTTCAACAGAATCCTTGACAAAGACATTTTAAAAGACCATCCAATTAAGTTCTTTTCATTTAGATTTAAAATGACAAAAATAATGCTCTTAAGGATCTGACAAAGAATTCTGACTTCTGTTTGTGGAGCCAAAAAGTGTCACGTCAAGCCAAATCACACCTCACACCCAAAATTAAAACTGCTAACAACCTCTACCTAGTTCCAATTTATGAAACAACTGAATTTCAAGAATGGAAAAATGTTATTTGTGTTCACCTAAACATTGAGATAACAAAATATGGGTTGTCAATATATAGGAGAGAACCAAGAAAGAACTGACCTTTGAATCAAATTCACAAGTATGTTTAGAGGTTATACAGAGAAGCAGCCTTGTTGAAAAACTGTTAAAGTTTTTGTATCTAATTACTGTAAATTGCACAATGATTAACTAGAGTGGTATATATTTAAAAAACAAACAAACCAGATACTAAATCATAGCTATTTCTTAAATCTTCAGTAGCAAACAGTTCCTTTAATAAAGTTTTAGTCTTCATTCATTAGACTTTCTCTAGTCTTTCCTTTAAAAAGTTTTGATTACATTCTTGTGCACAAAAATACAAGTAGGACATTTTATAGCCATACAGTCAAGTAAATGATCATGAAAACACAACTTCTTCTATAATATATACTTTTACTTTTAAAATATTCTTTAGGAATACTGACTGCCATTCGAGATCCTTTCCGAACATTTGCAGTCTCTTTCTTTGATATTTTTGTCATCAGTTTGTGTCATCTTTGACATCCATGTTTTACATTAGAGTCAAGGATGCTAACTCCCAGCTAAACTCTTAACACCAATCTTGAAGCAATTCTTCAATAACAAAAGGACAACTAGCACCTGCTTCTTCCCATTTAAATCCAACTATTTTAAGAACAAATGATCTGTTATAATGTACTCCCTCTCAGTGAGCTTTTCAAGATATTAAAATAAGCAAAACTGTCTTGACATGACTTTCTGATTAAGAGACAGAAGGCACGGAAAGCTGACTACTTTTTAAAAAACTAATTTCTCCAATCAAATATGTTAAAAAAAGTAACAGTAAAATTCTTCTAAGGGACTATACAGCACTTGCACAGATATCTTTAACTCCACTCTGCGTCCTGGGTATTCACATACTAACAAAACAGAACTTGCACTTTTCAAATATAGAAACACAATGGTATATTTTTATATGCATCTTAGCACACAGTTCATTTTCTCCCAATAAATTCATAAATCAATCATCAAAACAGGCGCTTAGTGATCCAGACTATACTTCAAACTATGAAGACTGAATTGGTAAGGGAGTACAAAATTGATGCATAGAAATTTGAAACTCACAACTAAAAACAAGACAGTAAAAATCCCCTCCCCCTTTTTGAACAGAACAAACAACAGGAAACAGAACAACTCAGTTATCAATGCGTATAAGTTGTTCTGCCTAGATTTCCTTTAGGTTTGAATGGTACAGTATAAGAATTGAAATTTCTAAAAATGAATCTAAGAAAGTGTTTCTAACTGATTAAGCAAAGCATAGGATACCACACAGCCTACTATTATTCTTATCTGATTGTATAGGGAACTATAACACTGAAATTAAAAAAGACTTTAAAAAGATTATAAACATTAAGATTTAGGTTATTAAAGACCTCATAACAGCTGAATTTAGGACAGTACCCACGTAGAACAAGTGTTTTTAATCAGGTGAGCTCACACAAAAATCTTCCCTATGAAGCATTAACAAAGAGTTTAGCATGAGCTTAGCAGCTTAATGCCAAGCCTTCTTTGTTCTGACAAGAATCAAATTTTCCAGTTGCTTCATGAAGATATCAGTAACAAAATACACCTCCTGCCCACCAGGAGCATCCAAGTGTACCAATATAATGAGAATGTTTTCTCCCCCAGGTATCTTCTAGTGTTACAATACTTTCTTACCAGTTAGGGTGCACTTGTTTGAGAAGTAATGGATAGAAATGAAGGGATGCAAGCTTAATCAAGTTAGAAAGCAATTTAGCCAGTAGTTTAGACTGCTAATCATCACCGTTCATGACTCTCTTTGAAATGGTAATAATGCCATTCAGAATAATAGTGCAATAGTTGTGAATATCTTCCAACCAATTTAAATCTCTTTTGCCATTACATTCTTAGGGATAAAATTAGTACTGAACATGTGATCAGCAAAATATCCATGGTGTGATTCAGTTTAAGAATATTACAATTGATGACTCAGCTTTCAGTTTTCTGTATATGTGTATTCTCCAAATGTAAATTATCATTGTGGTGGTGATGTCTACACTTTTTCACAAAGTATTCTCATACTTCAGTCAATTTCTGAGCAGTACCACTTAACCAATGGAACTCAAGATCTGGGACAGCACAAAAAAAATTTGACAAAGCATGCGGGGAAAAAAGGCTAAATGTGTACATCTTTGCATGTACCCTTCTGTTTACTTTTCTGTTCAGCATGGGTACTTTTAATTAGAAAAGTGATAATTACGCCCTTTTCTCCAGGAAAATGTGGAACTATATATAGTCCAATGCTGAAATAATGCTTTATTTCCTAACAGCACCTTACTGGAGAAATATCAGTAGCATCTCTGCGTTATATTGATGTCAGCTTATTGTACAAGCTGAAGGAAAAGTTAAGGGGGCATCCTTTGGACACACAAAGTTGACAGCAACAATATACAACCTTGTGCCCAAATTTTCTTATTTGAACATAAGAAATACTGCCAAGAGGACAGGGAAGCTAACACTGCCAAAGTAGGATTTTTATTATTCACAATGTGCATATACAAAATAAAGAAAATAAAATGCTTGCTTGTCTTTAAAACAGGCATCTAATTCACTGGTTTTCCTGTTACCTTCAAATGCTCGTGCAGCATCTACCAGGTTCGACCAGTCTAGCCCTGTGGCAGTGTCTGGAAGGGGCATCAGGCCAGGATCATTGAATTTGGCTTTATCAGATAAGGAGCCATCTGAGAACCAGAATTCATCTAAACAACAAACACAAAGATTAGTCCTTTTATGACAATAGCATATAACTGTCTCAGGATATGCTGACTAAAATGCCAAAAAAATAGCCAAAAGGTGTTAATCCTCAATTTCTGCTCCCCCCCTACCCCACCCCTCTATACTAGTTCAGTTTTGGGAGTAATAATTTTAAGGGTTACTGCACTCAGGAAATGAGAAGAGGTTTACTAATCTTCCACTTTCCAGATGAACAACTACAGAGACTATGAGTATACAGCCACGTTGATAAATTGCAGTATATTACTAAATCTCAACTTGCACATCCTTGAAAAAGAGGAAGTTGCTAGATATGATAACGCCTATTTACTAGCACTCCAGAAAACTACACATGAAAAATTTGCATGCATGCAATTTGTGGTTGCAGTCAGACGCTATTTTGAAAAAACTCTGCCTAGTGCATGTGTCCATTATACCTTCTGAATTTTTTTTTTTTTAAGTTTATGCTAGAAATAGGGTTTAAAGACAATGATCTTTCAGTTTTAGAATGGTGATGTGTTTGTAAGAAAGTGATATTTTATTGGACTGTAACTCAATTTCCAAAACAATACTGCAACTATTACCATACCATGGATATGGCAAAAAATGTTATTAGGGCACAATGAGCAGTTATCTCAATTATCATTAATGAATAACATATTCTGTCACAGTTATGTGTAGATTTACAAGCAGACTAGGTATTAGTACCTCAGCAGAACAGACCATTATTTTCATATTCCATTTCAGGATATATTTCACATTTTCAAGCCATACTTAACTGTAAAATGATATCTATCTGTGCACACACACATGCACACATATGCAAATGAAGACTGTAATTAGGAATATGTGCAGCCATGAACAAAGACATGAAACAGTTTAGTTAAAATCACATTAATAAGGTGAAATTAGTTTATAATCATATTTAGTTGTGTGCTGCATTCAGTAAAAAGTAATTTTCTTTAATATTTTCATGGAAGAAAGAAAAACTGGCCAAACAAGAAGTTAAATAAGACTGGTTAAATAAGAAGTTCATAAATAGAAAGGAAATGATTTTTTTTTTTTTTACTCCCCTATTTCTTTCCCATATCCAGGTTGTAACACGTTAGGACTGTTTATTTCCACTACTGAACCACCAAAATATCAAAAGTATTTTTGGCAATGAAGGCCACAACATGCACAGCCATAGCATAGAGTGCCTTCCACTTCTATGAAAGTGCCATTTCTCTTGATGTTAATTGAAAAGTATAATATACAGTTACACACACACACACAAGAAGCATAACCTGTCACATTACATTCTACTGCATACAGCTGCAGCTAACAGAGTACAATCATCTTAAGGACAAAAGATGATGACAGGTATAGCAGAAGAGGTAAGTAATTTTCCAAACAAAATCATATAGGGTCTTGCATCCCCAAAGTTGCATAGGAGACCAAGATGTTCCAGGTACCATGGGATTTTCCCATCCTGAAACTTGCATAGGTTTTGATAAAGAAACTAACAACAATTCTATCTGGAAGCTGTTTGAGAGAATCATGTTGCAGTATCTGTGTACATGACCCAAATCTCAGAAATGAAAAAAAATATATATCAAATGCAAATTCCAGCATACACACATATTTTTCTCCCACTTCCTACTAATATGCTCTTTCCAACATTTGCAATATTAAACATTTCTAAATGCCTTAAGAAGTGGTGAAATCACATTTGGATAAAGTCATGCAGAAGATCTTTTCCTGTGTATGTGGCTTGGTATCTGTAAAAGCCCTGCACAGATAGTACAAATACTTGTGTGTCCTGGTACTGCACAAATATGGAAACTTTAACAGATACAGTATCTTGTTTGAAAGCTAATGATCTAGCACTTGACTCTAGACCAGTGGGCATTCCCCTAGGGAGAGCTCCTGGACTTGTCTTTGATCAGTCAACAGAAGACAAATGTGAAATCTGTCAGGAAAGTGTCTACTTCCAATAAGATTCAGCTAGCTTTCCAAATAGAGCAGAGGAGTGATTTCACTAGTAGTCATCTCTTATTATACACCATCTTTGTGCAGACCTCAATTCCCCTTCAGTCTATGCTACTTTATCTTGCATATGTTCTGACAAAGGGCCTCAGAAATAGAAACCTTGTTAAAAGAAAGAAGGTACAGTTAATGATAGCTCTGGAGCTTCAAGTATTCATGAGGATGGCTAAAATTTCAAGAAGGTGTAACAATGCCCAGGCATCTGCATGCAACATAAAAAAAAAAAAAAAAAAAAAAAAATCCTCTAAGTCCCAAATAATTGTATGCAAAATTTCCTGCATCCTTGAGTTCAGGGAGTGATCTTTTCATGCTATTTGTGTTTTGAGGGTTAGGGAGAGAAAGCTGTCTTCTTGGGCAACAAGACAGGGAGATAGGCTAAAGTTTTAAAGGAAATTGCATTTGTGTTACAAGATGTATAGTCATTGATCCAGTGACTTCCAGTTTCCTTTATACAAAGGGATCATGCCCACACTGTCCATCTTCATTAATTTTTCATTTCCCTCTCATTATTACACAGAAATGATGTAAAGTAACTTTAATAGCATTAAGTTCTTCCAAAGTTATATTTAGACCTCATAACCCCTGGGCCAGACTGCCTGAAATTGACTGATATTGGTGCCAGAAAAACTCCTATTTAGGTTGCTTGCAAGGGAAAAGGTTCATCTTACCTAGCCTATTCCATGGTCTAGGCAACAAAATTGTTTCAGTCAGTGGGAGGGCTCTTTTCATGAGGAGGCTATGAACTCAGATAAAAAAAAGTTATCGCACACTTCATTAACTACAACAAGGTGTGCAACATGAGAAGACTATCTCTCTAAATTAAAATGTTTTTTGATTAAAAGAACTATTCACTGAGGCACAGCCAGCCACAATACAGCCAGCATTCAACACAAGTATAAACTGAATTCCTGGCGACTCCTTCCAACTGCTTTACTGCACCCTGTAACCCTACCTCTAAAGTTAGAAATAGACATCACCAAGTGAAGTGGATCAGCTGTGCTGGGATGTGTCCTGGCACAGCTGATCTGCTTCACTAAAAGAAACACGTCACCCATTGTACTGGCTTTTGATCTTGTGGGACAGGGGATGCGTTCCTTGTTTTAGTGATGTGCCCCTGGCAATCTCCAGGGTGTCTCTGGAAGCAGGGAAAGCTGGGCAGGGACTTTTAAGGCTTGAGGGGAATGACCCTACACAGAAATTCCCAGAGCACACAGGATCGAGCCCCTCAAGCCCTGAGCATGCCTGCCTGGGGTGCTTGGAAAGTGTGGGTATTTTCCCATCATAAATCAAATAGATGTCTGCTGCAATAATGCTGTACGGGCATAAAAGGTACAGACGACTATTTGCTTTGTGCCACCACAGAAGTGTTTATGGTGGCACAAGGGTGATGTCGGTTTCCTCTTAGTTCCCCAGAGTTGCTACATATTTCTTTTTAACAACTGTTGTTGTCTCTTCTGTAAGGCTCACCTCTTGGAGCCAGAGATTACCCTCCACTGGGACTGAACAGTTATAGCCAGCCACTGCATTCTCACAGAATTCAAAGACTTTCAAGTATCCTAGTCTTTACATCACTCATATTTTTGTATTGTCACTCTCCTGCTAATCTCTCATCTTCACTTTTTTTAAACCACCGTCTGGAGTTGTAGCTATCTCTTTCGAT